TAATCTGAAGAATTATGATACATCTACATTGCTGTAAAATTTTTTCTGTCCTAGAATTTAGGATATGTTCTCTGATTTTGCATATTACTTTCAACTTCTGTTAAGTTCTTAATTAAAGACATTGTGTTCTGCAGTGGGAAACGACACTGCCTGAAGTTATCTCATGATAGTAATTTTCTGTGTAGGTTTCTTTCTTAGAGATCCTGAATTGATAATGTGTGGTGTTTGTGTGCTATATTTTTTAATGCAATTTAAAGAATTTTCACTGCAAATGGCATATATAATAATTTGAAATGTTGAAATATATTTATTTTAAAATACAATTTGTATTTTCTGGATAAATGAATTACGTAACTCTAATAATCTCCCTTTGTAAGATATTTTTATTACATAATTGAAGATAAGCCATTTAACGTTTAGCATTCAGAGTTGGATAGCCCACCAAAAAGCATCCCTAATAGAATAAGTAGGTAGGTAGACTTGGATCAGGTACTTGTTTTGTGTTTCCTTTTCCTACTGGACTCAAGGAACTGATGATGAGGAAAATGGCTTTTTGGTTTCCTACTTATGCTTTTAAAGTTTTAGGAGCCTCTTGAAGAACACTGTGACCTTTGTAGATATCATTCCAAATTTGTTAATCTCAGACATTGCTTTTTCAGAGAACTGCAGTGATAGATATGAAACTCAATTAAAGTAGCCAAATTAACCTGACTTCCATAGGGTTTATAAATCATGGTCAGTAAGAGCAACAATATTACTGTTTTCATGACAATATTGTATTTACTCCTTAAAGATGACACCACTGATAGCAATTTATCTATGTGCATGTTACAGTTGAAAAGATTTGTGTACAATCAATAGTTCCTCCTAGTGTCTGCAGCAAGATACCTTTACAGCTTAGAACTATGTATGAAGTTTGTCCTCAAATTATAAGTGAATATGTATTTATATTAAAGAGTGACAGATCATGCTCAAAGTAAGCCACTTAAAATCACAAGTGGTATCTCCACTGCAAACTTCAAGTGTTCCTTTTTAAATAATGCTTGTCTGGTGTTGACACTAACATTTCATATCAGGGGAGGAGGATGTGATTATTATACAGTCCCGAACTACTTTTTGGTTCTCTATGTAATGTCTTAGAATAATACAAGCACAGTGACACTGACAAGTGTGTCCCGTTCTAATGATTTTCAAATTAAGGAATGGCTTCAAATTAGGAAAGCTTCTTGTTCACCTAGCTTTGGAATAGCATGATGTATGCTAATTGCTAACTTTGTCTGCATTATTTTTTAAAGATCAAATGGGCACAGTGGTAATTTTCATTAATCTCATACAGAGCAGCTAATTAAAATTTCCATTATTATCCATCCATTATCTAGTCGTTTCCTTTGTTCGGTATCAGAGCAGGGTGTTACTAATAAGCCATTCTTGCATTACAGCACTATTAAATATAGTGAGAATTAGTTTAATCTATTGAACTGTTTTTTAGATGATTTCTTTAATATTATGTTACACCATATTGATATGCTGAAGATTCTTTGACATCTTGTAATAGATATTTCAGAATTAAATACTTGTTGCTTTAATTTTTTTCAGTTGTGGGAAAAAGTGACATATAGTAGAAAAAGAAGTAACCCGAGGACCAGGATATTACTGTTTCTTTCTTGTAACCTTCCTAATTATGTGAACTTGGGCAATCACCGTGATTCTCTATTTCTATAATGAGGGTATTAGAATAGCTGATGTTTAAGGGCCAGTCCAGTCTTCATATGTTTTCATAATTATCAAGTATGATTTTATGTTAAAATCCCTAAGTCTTCCTAAACTCGATAAAAGGCATTTGTTCTGCCCTAGCGAGTTTGGCTCAGTGGATAGAGCGTCGGTATGAGGATTGAATGGTCCCAGGTTTGATTCCAGTCAATGGCACATTCCTGGGTTGTGGACTCTATCCCCAGTAGGGGGTGTGCAGGAGGCAGCCAATCAATGATTCTCTCTCATCATTGATGTTTCTATTTCTCTCTCCCTCTCCCTTCCTCTCTGAAATTAATAAAAATATTTTTAAAAAAAGGCATTTGTTCTAAAAGGCTATATAATTTTTTCTTCCTCCATTAGATCGATTGCTTCCACTCCTTATAACTGTAGATTATCCTAAATTACATAATTTAAACTTGTTTCTAAGATGGGGGAAGGGTGAGTCCCAATGTGATGGGCTGGCCAAATTGCTCCATAAATAGTATCTCAGCCTACCCTAGACCATATGAAAGCAGGGAGCTATCATTTTCTGAGCAGCTTACTTTGTAAGACAACACATATGAAATGCCTGTTTCAGGCACTTCATATTCATTGTCTTAATCATCATAACAAATGTGAGGGGGTTAGGTGTTTATTACCCCTATACCATAGATGAGCAAATAGGTTTCTAGAGATTAGTTCAATAGCCTGCTCAAAGATTAGCTGGAAGGTAAGTGAGGGGGCAATGATTCAAACCCAGAAGCAGTTTGAGTGGTCCCCAGGATGCCATCATATGCTGTCTCCATTTATCTGTTCTATACTAGCATCTCTCAATATGTTGTACTGGAATGTCTCATGTAATATTCTGAAGTGAAATTTGGGAGCTTCTGCATGTTGAAACTCATCAGTCATTCACCCATTTGTTTATTCTCCATCCATCCATCCATCCATCCATCCATCCATCCATCCATTATCATTCAAGAACTATGTATTGAGTAATTACTATATGCCAAGCAGTGTTATGGTCTGGAGATGAGGTGGTGAAAAGGTAGGCAAGATTCCTGCCTCATAGAGCTTATGTTTTAATGAGGAAGACACAGTAAACAAAGAAAATGCTAAACAAGATTGACTTATATAAAATTAACACTATAAATGAGGTTTGCAGTGGTGTTGTGATGATAATTGGTGTGTGGAGGGGAGAAGACTGTTGGGCTGAAAATTGAATGATGAGAGCCAGCAATGGAGAGGTCAGGGGTCAAAGTCTACCAGGCCAAAAAAAAAAAACACCCAGTAAATTCTAAGGTCATTCTGCAGGCAGAGCTTTATATAAAAGTCTCCAGGGGATCAGTAGAGCCTGTTATCCATTAATTAAGAAAGAAAGTGTGAGGATCATATGAAAGTGGTGTATGGAAGTAAACTTGCACAATTTTATGCTATAAATGTTTAGTTGCGGAATTCCTTGTGGATTTGTAGCCTTAAGAGCTGGATAAATAAGCTATAGAAATGTGGAAATGATTTCACGATGATGGTTTTACTTACTGTGCTATATATATATTGATTTACTTAATAGACTTTTTGAACATCTGTATATCCTAACAAAGCAAGAAAAATCAGGTCAGTGGCCAACACATAAAATATGGGCACTAAAGTAGGAAATTGTATTCCTTGTTCTGTAATTGTTATGGAAAGATTCAATAACAGCATACTTTTGTTGAGGCTCACCAAATTCAGTCACTGTTAGGTACTTGGCATACATGGACTTCCCAGTCTAGAGAGACAGACACAAATAATGACCTCTGCCCCAACGTCTTAAGTGCTATAGGAGTGATGGCAGCACAGTGCTATAAGGAAATGGAGTTTCCATATATAAAACTTTGTCAGACTTTAATGTTTACTGGAATTTTAAAACATTAAGACATTAGGCATGATTGACAATTTCTATATTAAGAAGGTATTCTCAATAAAAAGCCAATAGTATGAAACCCTAGGGAATCCATTTCTCATTATTAATTTTTTAAAATTCTCTAATGATAGGACTTTTACCAAGTGGGAAACATGTTTCTTTCCTTATTATAGCTTAGATATTTAGCAGAAACTGAGTGTAATGTACTGAGCATAAACTGAGTGTAATTTGTATGAATTTAGAAAATGGGAATCAAGCTAGAGTTTTTATTCAGAGGGATATGCTTGTAATCTAGGAAAAGGGCAGTTATGGCCATGTTTGTCTAGAAAGTAAAACTATTAGTTATTGTTACAGTGAGTGTGTTGATGATGTTTTCTTCCCAGCCTTTCCCCAAACTACTTATATAATAGTTATGGCAAGGTGGTGAAGCTAAAGAGCAATGAAATGATACTGCGTTCTAGAAATAAAATAACACTATGTATATTGGAAATTAAGCTAAAAACTAGTCATGATCAGATAAATGCATTTAATGACTTTTTAAGATTCATCTATAACAGAGTAACAAAGTTAGAAAGAAATAGTTGGGAACTGAATATTTTTGACCAATTTGATTAACTACTGTGCTCATTGGAAACTATTGTTTAACATTTTAATTAAAGTAATGTTTGTTGAGATAAGCTGATACTGATATTTCAATAAACGTGGGTAATGTATAATGTCTTATATTAAATTTCATGCACTGTGTTTTGTGGAATCTATATAAAAGCCTAAGTGATCAAATGACAGAATGACTGGTCAACAAGTCACTATGACTCACACTGACCGCCAGGGGCAGATGCTCAACACAGGAGCTGCCCCCTGGTGGCCAGTGCACTCCCACAGCCAACCTCCCGTGGCCCTATTGGCCCTGATCGCTGGCCAAGCTGAGGGACCTATGCATGAATTTGTGCCCCAACCCTCCAGTAGAATATAAATATCTTAGTAAGGAAAATTAATAAGATGATTGCTAAATGTTCATCCTGTGGGTTAAGGATAAACTACTGTAATATTAATCCTAATGCCTGGATTGTAAATGTAAGGATTCCTGCCGGTGATGCTTTATGCAACTCAAGTCCATATTCTATCCAGGTCATGATCACCAGCAGTGTCATTTTCTTTTAAATGAGGCTGAGGAGAGTGTTGAGATATACACAACATGATTTTACCACATCAATTCTATGACCATGAATTTTTAAGTGCTAGCACTCTGCCACACATTTTAATACAGAAAAATCTAAACATATTCTATGCACTATTTTATTTGAAAACTTTTACAAAAAAACTGTTATTTTTTTTTTTCTTAAATGGTATCTTTTTTCCCCCATAGGGAGGGCTGAAAAACAGCAAACATGAATGCACTCTGTCTTCACAAGAATATGTTCATGAATTACGATCTGGCATTTCAGATGAGAAACTTCTTAACTGCCTAGAATCTCTGAGGGTTTCTTTAACCAGCAATCCTGTCAGGTAGGTGGTTCTTATTTGTTTTGAAATGATTCATACAAGTTGTACTGTATATAATTGTTGGGAATATAACCAGTAACTCATTTGAACCTCGCGATTTTCTGACTAGAAATCTAATGTTAGCTAATAAAACTGCAGTATCTGATTATGAGGTTATAAGCATTTAAATAATGTTATTAATATGATTACTAACAATTTGCAGTTTTAAGAATACATATATACTTAGGTGTTTGATTCCTCTTTGATTATACAAACATGGATCCAGAAGTTAACTTTGTAATTAGATAATGATTACTATATATTTATTTGTAAACCAAATTCAGTATATTGGCTCTATGATATTATTCCTTTTTTAACTTGAGAAGTATATATAATTTTACATTCTACAAGTTTTAAATATACTACTTACACATTTCTGTAATTTGGGATAGGAAAAATACAATTATTTAAACCAATAAAATAAATAAGTTACAAAGTATTAATAAACTCTTCAAAATTGTTAGAAGATTTTTAAACAAGTTTCTTGCTAATGGTATATTCCAGTAACTGATGTTCCTATTTTAACCATAAAAAGCCTTTAATGACATCAAAATTAATGTTTTTATAAGGAAACTAGATTTTCAGTATAATATGGAAATATTTTGGGATCTACTTACACAATTGTTGGACTCTTAAGTTCAGAAATTAATGCATAAGACTATATAGAAATTGTATTTTTATTTTATTCATATTTTTCTTAATATATAATGGGTTAAGATCTTTTTACTTCTCTGACTTAGCCATGGAGCCTTGAAAATAATTTAGAGCAGGGGTCCTCAAACTACGGCCCGCGGGCCACATGCAAATACAAATATTATATTTGTTCCCGTTTTGTTTTTTTACTTCAAAATAAGATATGTGCAGTGTGCGTAGGAATTTGTTCATAGTTTTTTTTTTAAGGTTGCGTTGGTGGTATAGTGGTGAGCATAGCTGCCTTCCATAGTTTTTTTTTAAACTACAGTCCGGCCCTCCAACGGTCTGAGGGACAGTGAACTGGCCCCGTTTAAAAAGTTTGAGGACCCCTGATTTAGAGCTTAGTCATTCTGTTTGGATTTATGTATAAATGGAAGTGTATCATACTACATTTGACCCTTAGACAACATGGGAGGTAGGAGTGCCCACCGCCACTCGAAAATCGGCTTATAACCTATGTTCGCCCTCTGCATCGCTGGAATCCCAGGGCCAGTTGACCGACCCTTATACAATGCAGCTTTGAACTGCGCGGGCATATGTGAGCCTGCGTTGTAATCTATATTTATTTTAATCTATAAGGCATTTGGCAGGAAAACTGGAAAATATGATTCTACAATAAAAATTTAAAAAGAAAAACGGTAGGATGTGACGTACATTTCAATATAATCATTCAAAGTGGCTATCTTGCTATTTCTACCAGAATGCTTCTGGTTTTAATGATTTGAACAGGATGTGAGTTTTTGAGAACAGTAACTAACCGTGGTGGTGATCCCCCACAACCCGCGTCAGCCCTGCCCCCCATTCAACGGCCTGAGCCGCCACTCGGCCCCTCCCCCAACCCCCACTTCCATGTCCTGCCTCCTTCCTCAGGTGACTACAGCGCTCTGCCATAGTGCACGTGTGTGTTCCGAAATTTCCTTTAAATGGTTAACTGACTGACTGAATAAATGATTCTTTAAGAAATGACTATAGAAGAAGTATGCTTCCAGTTTTAATGATTTGAACAAAGGATTGAGTTCTTTCAGAGGTTCTGCGGAGGTTAAGTCATTATGGTGGTGGCTTACCCCCTCGACACCCCCCTCCCGCTGCCCGCTCCCCGTCCCCCGCCCCTCGCCCCTCAGTGCCGCCTCACCGAGTCCTCGTCTCCTCGCGTAATGTACAGCACTCCGCCACAGTGCACGTGTGCATTTTGAAATTTCCTTTGAATGGCTGATTGAGTGAATAAATGACTCTTTAAGAAGTGACTGTGGAAGAAGTTGTGAAATTTAGGCATGAAGGGGTCGGGCGAAAGTAGCAAAAATGCCTTTTTTATGAGAAGGCAGGAAAGGCCTAAAATTATACGCGGGCCTTTTAAAAATATAGCCCAGCAAGCACCAGGCCACTGTGAGGAATGACGGGATCACGCACACAGCTGGCAGGTCCCGACTGGCTGGAGGCAGCGCTGCTCTACTATCTGCCCGCTGATTGGCCCCGTGGGCGACGTGGGGCTACATACTTGCGTGTCGTGTCGTGAGCCACGCATTCGGTGGCAGCTCTCCGTGGAGAGCGGCGCTCGCTTGAGGAACTCGCTGACTTCCTCGCTGACCAGTCCCTCCGACCTCGCTGACTCGAGGCAAGTGCCACTGACCCATCCGCCTGTCCCGTGTGTGCTGTGGTTACGATGAGTAACATGAGTAAGAGTGAATGTGGGAGCCATGGCGGCTTCTTTGCCGCGAGTGGGGCCAGTGGCAGCAATGAGGGGCCCTCGCAGGGTGGCACGGCTCCTTTTCTGAAGGCGCCAAGGTCCAGGGCTCGAATCGAGCCCATTATCCCGTGTTGTGTGAACCAGCTGCTCACTGCTTCTCTGGTCGACGATGTTTTCAAGGTCAGGGGCATAGTGGTTTCTCAGGTCTCTATCGTGGGGATCATCAGGAAGGCGGAGAGAGCGCCAAACTACATTCTCTACAAGATTGATGATATGACCACCAAGCCTATCGACGCCCGCCACTGGCTGGGCAGAAGCAAAGCAAAGCAGGAGCTGGCTCCCTGTCCCGTGGGAGTGTACGCTAAAGTGTTAGGTATCCTGAGAGGTTCTGCGGAGGTGAGGATCCTCGAGGTGTTGCAGATCCGCGTCCTGGAAGACATGAACGAGCTCACCGCACACATTCTGGAAACGGTCAACGCGCACATGATGCTGGCGAAAGGCCAGGAAGAGGCCTATGGGCAGAGCGCGCCCGCCACTCCGCCTGAGGCGGCGCAGGCTCCCGAGCCCCGCGAGGTCCGCCCGCAGGTTATTCAGGCAGATGTGCTGCGTTTGATTCGCGAGTGTCCTCACCAGGAAGGCAAGAGCGTCAGAGAGCTCCAGGCCGACCTTGGCAGCCTGAGCATCAAGGCCATCAAGGATGCCCTCGAATATCTGATGGTCGAGGGCCACATCTACCCCACTGTGGATGGCCAACATTTTAAGTCTGCTGATTAAGGCGGCGAGAAGAACTTTCAGTTTCTGGAGACCGCGGCCTTCGGCTGTGACTGAGTTTGACCTGTTGACTTTTAGGAAGTAGGTTTATTTTTCAACAAAACTCTTAACTGGCATCCCTTTGGAACCTCACTGCTTTTCCAACAGCTTTGAACTTTTCTGTTTTTCTAACTATATTTGAAGCTCAGAGGGAGATCGAGATGGATAAATGGGTTGGACTTTTGTAGGCTTTACCAGCAAGCAGGTGAAAACAGTCGGGTAAATTTGGGGGCGAAGAGGCACAGAAAGAGTTGAAAATTGTTATTTTTTTGTGGGGGAGCTTCTTTTTGAAATGTTTAGGTATTTGGAGAATATAGATGTAGTCACGGAGCCAGCTAAGAGACAAAAAAAAATGTTGTTTTTAGTTACTTATTTTTTGTTTGCATTTAGCTTATTATAGTCATTGTTATCTCTCACTAAATATAGTAGTTGATTAATTGAAATGTGCTAAAGATAGCAGTTAGTGAACTCAAATGCTCAATTCAAGTGTTTGTTGAATGATTTACTTTTATAACCATGGTTTATTTTCTGTTTAAACTGCAGGGTCATCTTTGAATGCTGTTTTTCTAAGTGACTGTTTAATGGATGTTTCAAATAAGATGTAGTGAAATTTGGATTAAATTACAGTATGTTGTAGTTTTATGGTACATGGGTGCCTGATTTTCTTATGTTTGATGTTCTAAAGTATTATTTTAGACTTAACTGCTCAGTTTTATATATAACAAGGTTTTATTCTTATAGGTTAGGTTAGGCAAACAAAGAATATGTAATTCTAGGTATATTAAGCTTAGTAAGTTTAACCAAAATTTTGTTTGAATGTTTTATTAAAATACTTTTGTAAAACATTTATTGTGTGATTTTTTTTCTAAATACACTTGAATAAACCTTTTGCTTTGTCTTTAAGGAATAATAATTTTACTTATCCAGAATAATTTTTCTTTTCTCTGTATAATACCAATAACATATAACTTGTTTTAATAATACATTTTAGTATAGGTTATATAACTGTGTGGGACTTTTAAAAAACAGAATGAAGTAAACCTTCAATTACACACTAAAGATGGTATCTTCCAAGTTACTAATTTTATTACATTAGAAAAAAATTAAAAGTACATATAGTTATTCTGACAGGTAGAAGAAGAAAGCATCATTTGTCTTAATTAGATTACAAAAAGAAGGTGCAAAAACAGAAAATCTCTTAAATGCACCATTGTCAGTAATGCATACTATCAGGAAAACTATCTGAATATGGTCTCTCATTGTCGGCCTTTACAAAGCATCACCAATTCTTACTTAAGCATTTTGGGGCACAAACTTCATCTTTTTTCCCCTCAAAAGCAGAGAAATCAGAAATGGCACGCTTTTGAAAAAAACACCAATGGTTAGCATACTATAAACTTGCTTTTATACTCTGTTGATAAAGGTTGCCTGTGTTGGGGAAAATCATACTGGGAGAGAGGCAATGAGGGGCATATTTCTTCCTCAGAATCTGAGTGCAGAAAGAAATATTCTAGGAGACATAATGTTCTTTTGTGATACTGCTTATAAAAATGCTGGAACCTGGAGATTAAAATCTGGTATTTTAATGACTGTATAGTCACTCTCAAAATGATCCAAGTTTATTCAATTGGCCACTGGATAGGTAGCCACTTTTTCCCTTACTTTAGAAATATATCTCTGGAACTAGGAAAACGGCATATGACAAAGGCTTTTTGGGGCTAGCCTTTGTCCTGGGAATTTACGTTGCGATATGTACACCTGAATTTAAGGCCCAGGA